ATGTCTTTTGATCTCCCGGAGAAACAACATCTACAAAGTGTATCCAGATATATCAACGCAAGTAAGGCCTTGGGTATTAGCGTCAATAGTTTTACCACACTCACACTCTAGACCTTTTTACAGTAACATCAAAACCAGTTAACCACAGAGAGAGATACGGGTAGAGGTACAATAATTCCCACGTGGTGATAACGAGTGGTGTGTTGACCATTATGTGATCAGAAGTATATCCAACAACTACTGAATGTGCTCCCCTACATCTGTGTTTTGATTCCACAGGAGATTAAATCTAACACAGAACTGATATCCTTAAGTTAGGTTTTAAATGTTATCGGTAATTTCGATTTTATTGTCATCATCATAATAATTGGTGTAAGAATTATTGAAAACCTCCATCACCTGTGCTCCACCCACCACTGTTAACTATATAAGACCCCTACATGCTAAGTCCTCTTTTTAACATGAAGGGACACCAGCTACAGGTACACAACTGCCCACACTAACGTTCCAGCCTGAAACTTTTACGAACAAACCCACACCATCAGTCACGTGGCCATGTCGTCACTTACGAACACCAGTCAGGGCGAAATAATCAGTAAACGTCGTGAGCCACTTGTTCAATACACCTGGCATCATCAAGGAGGACCGGGCCACGTGTGTACCCCAGAGAGACTGAGTCACGGTTGGGTACTGCCGTATATCTGGCTATAGATTAACTAATGGAGTTCCCAAGACAAATAATGGAGACAGAGTTGAAGTACAAGTGGAAATTGAGATTGAAGTTGGATTATCTCCTCAATTTTACCTGGGTAGATGTGAAACCAATAATTTTATTTGACCTCAAGTTCATGGGGGGTAAGGTTACATCACAATGGGTGTTACTCAAACAACTCTTTCTTGGTAAACAAATTAAAACTCTACTTTCTATCTTTTTTAATACCATCTGACCCAAAACTCTCCATAAGGTACAGACAAGTGTAAGTACAACAGACTGGGTTAACAAAGGTTTGTATATTAATTTTATATTAACTGAAGACGTATGAATAGCCGTAATTGGTTCACTTCTCACATAACACAAAAAAATCAATATAATTTGACGGTTATTTTTAAGTGATATATTTGTTTTAACAATAGGTGTATTATTATGTCATGAGTTACGAGGAATTATTCACCGTATTAACCTTCATGAATCATGACTGTGAAGCAGCGGGACACTCAGCGGCCGAGGGGTGCTGTGAGGCCGCGTTTGGTTAGTTCACTCGGCACGTTTCTGTCTACATCCTCGTGCGTGAGTCTGATGCTGATGACCCACGGTGATGCGGTCACCCTCCTCCCAACCATCCATCCATCTATACTGTATATATAATGTATATACTATATATATATCAAGAGAAATACCTAAGACAAAGAGGTAGGGAGAGATAACGTCTCTTAAGCTTCTTAACGTGAGAAATTCTTGGACTAATTTGCATAATACGACACATTATCCCTAATTCTTGGAGCGCTGCTGCAGCTCCGCCCGACAAAAAAAGATCCCATACGAACTCCTCCATAAGGGAAATATATGCAGGAAAAGTACGCAGACGAGGCCATAACTTAACAAACTTTACAGTAGTTGCGAGGAAAACGAGGCAGAAGTTACTATTGGTAAAGAAAAATGTTGTAAACTAACCGGCATAAATTTCACGGTACATTTAGAGGAAGAATTTATCGTCTTGAGCAATATATATGGTGAGGACTCCACCAGCGTCTTGGCCAGCTGGACGCACCACACCGGCGACAGATGGCAAGTTACTGTCCATTAGTGAGCCATTAAGCCGCATATATACCCTCACTGTCTCACTCACTCACCCCATCCATGGTTAATATGACGTTCACACAGCCACGACCTGAGTCTCTCTACAATTGTACTCCACTCATCCCTCTCCATAAATGTACCCCACTCATCACCTCCCTCTCCTATTTATCATCTTTATCAAAATCATTCAATTATCTCTCTGCCTTATGTACTTTTTCACACCCCTTTCTTTATTACCTGTAATCTATCTAAATCACCAGGTAATCACTCTACCTTATCACCTCACCTGCCCTGCTAAATTAACTTACTCCCCTCTGTTAGTAAGTTCATTCTTGATTGCACTACCTGATTATTAACACACACTCAATCACGTTCTGCTTCCTTACCTGTTGCTGCTATGATACCTTAAACTCTCCTTACTATTCATATATTTACCACTGTTAAGGTCATTAGCTTCAACAGGTATAGACAATCATCCAGTTCATAGTTGTCACCACCACACAGTTCTTAGTACCATCACTTGGATCAGATATAAACAAACATGAGATTGTAAACACCTGGAAAATCTCACTAAAGGCTCAATTAACCTGTTTTTTGTCGCTTGAGGTCCTTATGTTTGTACTGTAAGCAAATTCAATGTCTAGTCTTATATCCTTTACACAATGGTTCTGAAATTTATTCGCTTGAACAAATATGAACAAAATCAGATGAATAAAATGCCATATATAACAATTCAACTCTTACTAACCTAACCTAACCTAACCTACCCTAACCTTGCTAGTTCTTGTTTGGTGAATTATAATACAGGATATATACTGTAACTTTATTGATGCTCATTATTCTCCATACACAAGTACAATCCCTACATCTCGTTGTGTTCGTAAACAAGTAAACAACTCTATCTTCTTTATCAGTTATTGTTACGTGAGGAAGTTATTGGTGAACAGAACACAAGTTGGGTGATCAGTTCATGAGGAGAACACACCCAGTAAACAAGTGTAAACAAGTGTAAACAGGGCCAGGGTTCAGTAAACAGTCCACAAAGAGCATCATCTTCACATGGATGAGATAAGTTGCTTCCCAGCTGTTGTCTGATAGTTATTGTGTCATAACTGTAGTTAAAGTTGGCTGGTAGGGAGGACAAGGCATTATACCAAGACTGGCGGCGTTGTTGTGAGGCAAAGAGGGAGAGGAAGGAGGGAGAGGAGTGGTGAGAGGGAGGAGGAAGTGGAAGAGGAAGGAGAAGGGAGAGGAGTGGTGAGAGGGGAGGGGAAGAGGAGGAAGGATATGTGGAGAGAGAGAGAGAGAGAGAGAGAGAGAGAGAGAGAGAGAGAGAGAGAGAGAGAGAGAGAGAGAGAGAGTGTGTGTGTGTTTATTTATTATCAAAACATATAGATAATCTAACTCAAACAAGCTAATCATGTTTATATAAAAAAACAGCTTGATGGAATTAAACATCAAGATGGAAAAACAAAAAACAAAATAAAATCATTGAGATACTAAGCCGAAGAGGAAGGAAAAAACTCCCTCACATCCAAAGATTTTGTTCCGCCAGGTCAGTAAATACGGGGAATGGGTTAACGTCACCACCAGAATCTATCACTAGCAAGTCTACGGACTCTGCCCACCCACATTCAACCACAAATGCTATTACTTAACCTTCATGTTTTATAAGAGCCATGATATATAACACACCATGACCACCACGCCTTATAAGTACAGTACGAACACTTGACCTCAATTATAGGGTCATGACCTCTTTCAGGCCTCAACTACTAAAACTTACCTGAGCACCGCCGCCACTTTAAACCCTTCTAAGTACCGCAGCGGCTTAAAACACCCTTAAGTAGGACAACTTAACCCCATCTTGAGTAAACAGGTCAACAAAAAACTGTCCAGCAAAGTTTAAATGAATTCGGGCCATTAGTGTGAGGTCAGGGGGCCATGTTGTTATACTCTCAATAGGTCTTTACAAGCTTTATGAATTAACAACATCAGATGAACACACACACACACACACACACACACACACACACACACACACACACATTTAACTCTTGAGAAGGACACAGTTAGGAACGTTTAGTGTATTAGATTAATGTGTATTGAGAATCTAGTGATGACCTATGTGATGCTGATGGCCGGAAGCAGATGACTCACACGGGCGGTCTTGGTCACCTGGGCTCTCAGATCTTATTTTGCTACTTTTGTGTTTCTTCGTTTTATATTTAATTTCTATATCTTTTAATATTGATTATTTTCATGACCATATTTTTCAGGTATTGCAGTTACTAGATATGCTTATATAGTCTCGTATTAAAAATGAATATTAGTTTTTTCGAAATTATTATTATTATTATTATTATTATTATTATTATTATTATTATTATTATTATTATTATTATTATTATTATTATTATTATTATTATTATTATTATTATTATTATTATTATTATTATTATTATTATTATTATTATTATTATTATTATTATTATTATTATTATTATTATTATTATTATTATTATTCGTAATAGTAGTAGAAATAGTACCGTTATTATGAAGATTATCCTTTTTTTTATCACTTTTACCATTACACTCTGCTTTATAAATACATCACAGGAATAAACTATACTCACTCGCGCAATGATCTCTAGAAAACTAACATATTATGAGCCCATCTGACCTACAACACCTCTTGTAATTATTCGTGTATCAATTACAGGTAGCTGTACAGTCAACAACATTCTCTTATTTGTTAATTACAAACTCTCTCAATAACACAGGTAAAAATAACAACAGTAATATCAAGTGACTAATAACACCTATAGGTCAACCTCCAATCAAACTTACGTAACTTAATTTGAACCACCTGAAACTTATCCAATTAACTGTACCTGGGGGTAATAAATGTGTGTGTGTGTGTGTGTGTGTGAAATTAATAATATTAAGAGTGTAAATAAATAGTAGAGAGTTTCATTTTTTTTAAACGCGACAGAGTGAAAGCAACGTCAGGAAGCGGTGACAGCGAACGAACAGAGAGATTGTCCTCACTTTTGCATTCATACGAAGTAAAAGTTATGAACATCAAAGTCTCAAAAAGTCCAGAAGTAAACATAGAAACTGTACTGGGTCATAAAGACGAACTAATATGAGCAAGTGCCTGCTGTCTGCTGTCATATACTGTATACTGTATATAAATATATCTCAAGTAATTTATTTTGTTATTTCTATGAATATTATCTATCTATCTATCTATCTATCTATCTATCTATCTGAAACTCGGGGGTCAAACCACTGAGCGAGAGGCTGAACTGTTATCTCTAAGCTGCCGAATGCATAAAAAAGACCCAGACAATTGAATACCTGTTCGTCCTATCAGGTATTGTGAGGCTGTTAATGGGGTCAGCACTTGCGCCCAGCCAACCAATAGCAACATTTTACCTGAGTCAATGACGAGCTCAGAGGACATCCATTTCACGTTTAATGGAAAGGCGGACACGATGCACAATATCCTGAAATATATACACACAAATCGGAATTTATTATATGAAAATAGCCATAGTAATCTCTGGAACAAGTAGGCAGAAATTGAGATAATGACAAAGAGACAATCAAGATCCGAGTGAAAAACAATTAAATCACTGCAACACGGGAGATTAATTCACCAGTTCACCAAAAGCGTGAACCATTAGTGACGGGAGTGTCGCGCCCCTGATTGCATTGTTCCATTTCGTGGCTTTATTAGAGGCAAGCAATCGTGCGAGGTCCCAAGATTACTCCAGCCACGCATTGTTATTGTATAGCTGTGATGTAGAGGCGGTGTTAGGAGCCACTGCTTGAAGGAGTAAGGGCCAGACGCTGCGAGAGGGGGTTAGTAGCAAGGGGTGGGACAAGGGTTAAGGGGAAGGGTTAGTATAGCTAGGGATGGGACAAGGGTTAAGGGGAGGGGTTAGTAGCTAGGGGTGGGACAAGGGTTAAGGGGAGGGGTTAGTATAGCTAGGGATGGTAATTTGTGGCTAGAGATTGTTAAAGTCAGTTATGTTGATATATTATTGATTATTGTTGATCCCGTTTTAAAATATGGCAGAAACCCGTCTCTCTCTCTTACACGTACGAGTATACAGGTGTTAGAGGTAGGTAGGTAGGGTAGTTCTCACAGGTTCAGTCATGTACATACAGTGTCAGGTTTGGGTTCGACCATTAGCTACGCCCCACCGCTCACTGCGATAACCGGACCAGCTGTTAATTCTCCTCTGTTAACTGTACTGTGTTAATTTTGCTGCTATGTCTGCAGTATTAACTTTGTCTCTCTTGTTAACTCGGCCGAATTAACTCAGTTGTTGCCTAAGGGGTTAACTCTCCTGTGATTATCTCTCCTGGATTCACTCCCGTGTTAACTTTCTCGAATTAAATCACCCATGTTAACTCACCCGTATTAACTCTCCCGTATTAACTCTCCCGTATTAACTCTCCCGTATTAACTCTCCCGTATTAACTTTCCCGTATTAACTCTCCCGTATTTACTCTCCCGTATTAACTCTCCCGTATTAACTCACCCGTATTAACTCTCCAACAAACACATCAGTAATTACAAAAAGAAACAAACTCACCCATCAGGTCACTAACCTCTGAATGATAAGTCTCATTATTCATGGTAAGGAGATCATCTGAGTGTCGTCTGTATGTAGTGAAGGTGTGTCACTAACTAACTCACCAACTATCAACTATCAACCTAACTAATTATATCTAAGTAAGTAATTAAGTAACTGACTCAATAACTAACAATCACTAACAATCACCCCATAAATAACAAACAAACAAAGAGGCTGACAACCATCCACATCGACCAATAACATAACACCAGCACGGTCGTTCTCAATAATTGGGTTAATACACAGTAATTACTCCAGCGTGCACCATAATTAAGGTTTTAATATCCAGATGGTTTAATATCATGAGTTGGGTCTATATTTTTAAGTAACTTTTTTTTAAGTTATTCTGAACAGTCACCTTCGGCATTTAATGATGTAGTGAGTTTAATGTTTCATAAATAATAATAATAATAATAATAATAATAATAATAATAATAATAATAATAATAATAATAATAATAATAATAATAATAATAATAATAATAATAATAATAATAATAATAATAATAATAATAATAATAAAATCAATAATAATAATAATAATAATAATAATAATAATAATAATAATAATAATAAAATAATAATAATAATAATAATAATAATAATAATAATAAATAATTTTAATAATATTAATAATAATATATAATAACAATAATAATACAACAGTTCTTAATTAAAATAACCCTTTCACCATCACTTATAAACACATTATATGATTTTTCTATTAGTTGATAAAATTATAGAAAACTTAAATACAAATAATATATCATTAAAACTCCATCAACTGTACAGTATATAAATAAACAATAAGGCAAATGTAACTCAATAGTCTATTAATACACATAATTAATAATAATAATTAGGACACACAATAATAAGTACCATAATAATGTATTCAGTAATTACCTCCTCTACACTGTATCCATATTAACACAACACACACCACACCACTCTCCTCTCATCTACACACTCACAGCTACACCGCCACGCTCACAGCTACACCCGCCACGCTCCACCCTACACCCGCCACGCCCACACCTACACCCGCCACGCTCACCTACCGCCACGCTCACAGCTACACCCGCCACGCTCACAGCTACACCGCCACGCTCACACCTACACCCGCCACGCTCACAGCTACACCCGCCACGCTCACAGCTACCCGCGCTCCCACCACCCGCCACGCTCACAGCTACACCCGCACGCTCACACCTACACCCGCCACGCTCACACCTTCCCCCCACGCTCACAGCTCACCCGCCACGCTCCAGCTCCCCCACGCTCATACACCGCCGCTCACACACCCGCCACGCTCACACCTACACCCGCCACGCTCACAACTACCCCCACGCTCACACTACACCCGCCACGCTCACACCTACACCCGCCACGCTCACCCACACCCGCCACGCTCACAGCTACACCGCCGCTCACAGCTACACCCGCCACGCTCCTTCCACCCGCCACGCCACAGCTACACCCGCCACGCTCACAGCTACACCGCCACGCTCAGCTACACCCGCCACGCTCACCTACACCCGCCACAACCTCACCGCCGCTCACAGCCTACACCCCACGCTCCACCTACACCGCCACGCTCACACCTACACCCGCCACGCTCCACCCCACCCGCCACGCTCACACACACCCCGCCACGCTCACAGCTACCCGCCACGCTCCAGCTACACCCGCCACGCTCACACCTACACCGCCGCTCCACCTACCGCCACGCCCACCTACACCGCCACGCTCACACCTACACCCGCCACGCTCACACCTACCCGCCACGCTCACAGCTACACCGCCACGCTCACACCCACACCCGCCACGCTCACAGCTACACCCGCCACGCTCACAGCTACACCCGCCGCTCACAGCTACACCCGGTACACGAGCCCAGGTTAACACCTGTTCATATTACTACTAATAATTTCAACTGCAGTTTAGACAATGACTTGGAATTAGGGCGAGGCAATCTGGCAGTGGCATATGTGATGTACTGTAGTAGGGAAGACAGTATACAGAGTGGTGGTTGGTGATTAATGGTGGCTGGTGGTTGGTAGTGGTTTTTAGTTGGTGGTTGTGGTGGATGGTAGTAACTGTGGTGTTGATGGTGTGTGGTTGATGGTGGTATTGTTGTTGATGAAGTGGTGGTGGTGGTCTTCTGCTCTTGACTCTCACCAACAAGCAACACAAAGTAGCTGGCGAGTTACTCGCCAACACTACACCCCTGACACTGTACATCCTCCTTGGCCAACACTACACCCCCGACACTGTACATCACCTCCTTGGCTAGCCTACACCTCTGACCTTCCCTTGGCACACTACACCCCTGACACTGTACATCACCTCCCTTGGCCAACACTACACCCCTGACACTGTACATCACCTCCCTTGGCCAGCACTACACCCCTGACACTGTACATCACCTCCCTTGGCCAACACTACACCCCAGACACTGTACATCACCTCCCTTGGCCAACACACCCCCGACACTGTACAGACATACACTGGGGGTGAGTGTACAGTACCTCGCTAGGGAAGAGAAACACGGACCTCCACGTCGGGTTAAAAATCAAACACGAGAAAATGTATAAAAACAAAACAAAAACAGATACACACTTAAACAGAGGGACAAATATATACATTCCGTGGAGAGGCAAAAACCATGGTAGCTTCATTACTGGGTAGCAAGTGGCGGAGTTGGGGATGTTTAGTGTGCGGCTCCTGGCTCACCGCCCTCACTAACACACTACACCCTGATTGGTCTTTCTTTCTTTCTTTCTTTCTTTCTTTCGTTTCTCGTTCTATGTCTATCTGTCTGTTTGTTAGTCTACCTCTGTCTTTCTGCCACTGCTTCATTCTCTATTTTTTTTCCTTTTATCTTTCTCTCTCTCTCTAATTTCTGTGTATTTCTTTCTCTTTTTGTCTTCACCTTCATCTTCCCCCTCTTTATTCACCCTCTACCCCCATCTCTCATTCTCTCATTCTCTATCGCCCTTCCTCTCTTTCTCTCTCATTTTCTTTCACTTTATCTTTCTTTTTTCTTCATCCTCTCTCTCTCTCTCTCTCTCTCTCTCTCTCTCTCCCAGACACAGAGGAAAATAAAACGTAATATACTGGAGAAAGTAAACAAAGAAAAGATAAAACAAGAGAGTGATGTGTTCATTACGGCACAACGGAGATAACACGGCTGGAACACGGCTGGAACACGGCTGGAATACGGCTGGAACAAGGGTATAACACGGCTGAAACAAGGGTGGCTGCAGCTGTAACAAGGGTGAAACACGGCTGGAACAAGGGTGACTACGGCTGGAACAAAGTGAAACACGGCTGAAACAAAGGGTGAAACACAGCTGAAACAAAGGGTGAAACACGGCTGGAACAAGGGTGAAACTGCAGCTGGAACAAAGGGTGAAACACGGCTGGAACAAAGGGTGAAACACGGCTGGAACAAGGGTGAAACACGGCTGAAACAAGGGTGAAACACGGCTGAAACAAGGGTGAAAATAAAACAAAAACATGAGTGAAAAACAAACAACGAAATCAGAACCTCCCCAGATGAACCTCCTTCTCGTGTGTGTCCTGAACCTGAGGGCGTAGAGAGAGTCTTCCTCCGAGCGCTCTCTCTCTCCTCTCTCTCTCTCTCTCTCTCTCTCTCTCTCTCTCTCTCTCTCTCTCTCTCTCTCAGGGAAGCTTTGGGTGTTAGTTCTCCAGGGAGGAAAAAATTGGGGTAATTAGTGTGTCGGCGGGTGTGTTGGTGGGTGGTGGGTGTGGGTGTGTATGTGGTGTGGTGGCAGTGGGTGTGGGTGTATGTGTGTTGTTGGTGGTGGGGTGTAGTGGTGTGTTGTTGGTGGTGGGTGTAGTGTGTGGGTTATGGAGGTGTAGTGGTGTGTTGGTGGTGGGTGTTAGTGGTGGTGTGTTAGTGGTGGGTGTGGTATTGTGTGTGTGTTGTGGTGTTGTTGTGGTAGCGATGTTGTGGTGTCACTGTAAGATAACCTACACTAATGAGAGGTGTAATTCACCTTTTATCTGGGAGTTAATGATGTGTCTTGTGGTCATCAAATTAACCAGACGGTAAAAGTGTCAATACATCTCAGGGCTCAGTTGATAAAACAGTAGAACGTCATCTAAAAAAAATAACTGCAACGTTTTTAATAACCAATTCAAATATAAGTACACTATTCTTATTTGATCACTCTATATTAATATTTCCAGCGATAACTTTCCGGTTACTAGACACTTTTATGTTTTGTGGTGTCGATTTTTTGTGAGCGTGGCGCACGTAACCTTTAGCACCAGGGAGGCTTCTAGTCGCCTTGTGTGGTGGTGTGGCCAGTTACTGCACAGGACGGCTTTCCTCATTCACCTGAGCTGGCCAGTATTGTCCCATTTATACCCAGCACCACACCACCTGCCGCTGCCACAGATTAAAACGACGGACTGAACCACTAAGAACCATTAATATGTCAAGCTTCGTCACCGCTGGTTGGTCACCTCCGCCCTTGTTCAGCTTCACAAAAACTGGTAGTAGTTTCAAGTTAAATAAATAAATAAATAAATAATAAATAAATAAATAAATAAGATAAATAAATAAAAATCTTCAATATATCGTATTGGTCGACGAAGATAATTTTACTTGTAGCTGTTCTGATAAGTCATATATACCTCAGTAATATTATGTCAGTTTATGCCAGTTATTGATTTTTATGATACCAGTAATAATTTAAATGTATAGTAAAACCAAAATGGGATATACGGTAGCTGAAATACTCCTCCGTCTGGCAATGGTTACTAAGTCAGAATTCCTATCAATTATGCCACCTGATTCAACTAAGCGTGTAATAAGTTCGAGGTTTTAGCCTGAGAAGACAAGTATGCTCTCTCCGTATAAACCACATTCACATTGTTCCACACCAAGACGTCGAAACTCTTCAATTTATACAACACAATTTTCCTCCAATACACACTCCGTGTTTTGATGCCTGAACAAGATGACCTCCCCCACACTCCATAATGACAATTGATTCCCTTCCTCTCCCCACCTCCACCATCCCAACTTAACCCTCACACACCATACACATAAATGTACAAGTATTCAGGGGCCTCTCTCATTCCCTGAGGTGCATCGTCAACTTTCAATCGTCAATGGGGCTACAGTGAGTGTACATGCATATATTTGGATAAATATACATGGTATACTCGTGTACAACTACCACACACACACACACACACATATATATATATATATATATATATATATATATATATATATATATATATATATATATATATATATATATATATACTATGAAAAATTCATCCTGAAGAAATCATCATATGCATTCAGAGTTTGTATGTAGATCGCATATTCCACTGAAAAGTTCTTCTCTAGAAAATACAATGATGAAATCCCTCATATTCGGTCTAAAGACAAAATCTTGAACATAGAATATCAGTTTTGCAAGATTTACCCTCAGTTTTTCTCCTAAAATTGTAATGAGCAGGAAGCAGATTCCTCTTTATACATAAAATATAAAACAACACTACAGTCCTTCACTAAACACTAGTCATATCCTGATAAGAAAATTACTACTACTACACACTGTTGCTACTAATGCTATTACTCCTGATAATAATAATAATAATAATAATAATAATAATAATAATAATAATAATAATAATAATAATAATAATAATAATATAATAATAATAATAAAATAATAATAATAATAATAATAATAAATAATAATAATAATAAAATATAATAATAATAATATTATAATAATAATAAAAAATAAATATAAATAATAATAATATTAATAATAATAATAATAATATAATAATAATAATAATAATAATAATAATAATAATTATGTAATAATATTAATAATAATAATAATAATAATAATAATAATTGTTTACGTTTGTCAATTTGGTGCAAAATTGGATCATAAAGTTACAATAACAGATTGCCAAGGTTAAATATTTACAATGAAACAACTACAACAATTAAACCTTATAACAACAACATATAATAAAAAAACAACAAAAAAAAGAACAATATAAATAATAACTCTATCAACACTTTACAAGTCTTGAAAATAGAAATACTTTGATAATCAATTAACACAAACAAACACATACTTATAAAATTGCTTAACACAATGACAGAATTACTCACAAAACAAGTACAAAAATACTTCAACACAAACGTACAAATACACACTACCTTAACACCAACAAACACACCATAACTCTCCACCCCAAAAACAAACCAAACTATACACAAACCATTAACAAAACAGGATAAATTAACTCAAACAATCACATTTAATCGAAGGTCTTTTTTCTCCCCTATTTAGCGTCATTTAACCACTTAATTTCCACGTCACTCTGATCGGTGGCATTTACGGGGACCTGTCAGCCTTACAGGGAGACGTAATTTAGACAGGGGAAAAAAGTCAGAAAGTGGTCGTTCTGGTGATATGACTGGACCACCAACACCATCATCACCACCACTAGCCCCAGCATTATTACCATCACCACCACCACCACCCCCACCCCACACCCGCACCACCAACACAAGAGCCTAAGAAGGTTTCTCTACCACCCAGCACCTGTATGTTCCTCATTAATTACTTCAGGCCAGGTGACATCCCCATCATTAAGTTACAAAAGGGTAACATCAACTGTCAGGGTACACAACACACCTGTCTAATTAAATATTCCTTCTGTTTCTCGCTTGGCTGTGTCCGTCAACAAGTTTTTTCCTGTCTGCACCTACACGTTATATTTTCTATATGATGTATGGACTTAAATATGCTCCTGGACGTCAATATGCTCCATGCACTCTAATATACCTCGTATGCTCTCTAATATGTGTTGTATTCTTCTTTTGCCCC